ACAATGTTACATACTTCCACATCAACTTCGTTGTTGAGTTTTTCAATAATTACCGGAGAGGGAGATAACTGATTACTTGAGGTACATTAGAGAGGCTGTCCATTTGTTTACTTAATTTTTTACCAGAGTTCATTGAACTCTTTAAACGCCTTTTTTTCATTATAAAAGGGTTCAAAAACGAAGCACAATCATATAAAGCCTATCTTTTTGTATCTCTCTTAGTTCCTGCAGCAACAAATTCTCTTCGATTACGTTCTTTAGAGAAATATTGTCTTAATTTTCTGTAACGATCTTGACACTGTTCAACTGAAAATATTAATGGTTACAATTATTTATATATTTTGTAAAAGTTGTATTTAACAAAAAAAAAATATATAATTCTTTTACCTTTTTCATTCATTTCTACAGATATATTATTCCAAGCTAAATTAATTTTTTCTTGATTTAACTTGTTTGGATCATATATACATGGGTATTGTTTTATAAGAGTTAATAAAACCATGTCAAAGTCATCATTATTAATTCTTTGGTCAAGAAACTCATCATCATTTTCACTATTGTGAGATGATTTATTATTTTGATAATAATTATGTTCACTCATAATTTTAATCAGATTTAATACACCTTTTCAAAGATTTTCTTTTTCATTCACAGTATCGTCTCAAACTGAAATAAATTTACGCAGGTGAAAATAAAAATACATTTCACCTGGAATCGGGGTTAGGTTTAACGTTGATACAAGTATGTATCACGTCGCTTGTATCATATAACTTATCTTGTAGCATATATCACCGTTTCGTGCGGTCGGCTTAAGCCCTAAGTTGTGTATAAGTTCCGACAAAAAGTTTCTCACGCTACCTGGAGTTGAAATTTCTAAGCTTCAAAATTGGTTACGACTCTTGACAGCGCGGGAAACTCCTTTTTACCGGAAATTACGTCACTACAATTTAGGACTCGGTTTTTTTACCTAAAGCTAAAGGCTTATTACACCTATTGTAGATTGATCAATCTTTCTCGCGTCATCTTACGAATATATCTTCTTATTTCAACATATTTCGCACAAATTTTAAGCGTATATTTCCTCGCTCCTGACGTTATTCGTTATGACGTTAATCAAGATGGTGACGAGAAACGAGAGCTTTAAACATAGAGATATAAGAATAGAGAGGGAACAAGCCTGTAAGTGGAAGTGATAGAGGCAAAGAGAGAGATGGATGCCGAGTGTCCTTCTGTCTCTTTCTAGTTGAGCGCTGTGATTGGTTGTTACAATGAGCCGCCAAGACGACCACGCGACGTCAGGAGGGGAGAAAGCAGACTAAAATTTCGTTTTGTAAATATGCGTACACATATGTGTAGAATTAAAATTCGTTAAATATTCGAACATTAACAAAATAATAATTGGACACGATTTGTTTAAAAATGAGGCATTGTTTGAAATGCAAGGCGGAGTCTTATCTTGGATGTAACCGCAGTTTTCACTCGTAAGAAAGTACAAATACGTAACCTCAAATAATTATATGTTATTTTTTCCTACATTTAAAAAAATATCTAAATGTTGTAGGCTACCGAAGGATGTAGATATAAGGCGTAAATGGTTGAATATACTTCAACTACCTTTGTATTTTGAAGTGAAAACAGCATATATTTGCAGTGATCATTTTTGCAATGACAGTTTCTTTGAATTGGATGGAGAAAAATGTATAGCTATATCGTCGTTGGCGCGGCAGCCAATCCCAGCGCGTGACTAGAAAGAGACAGATAGGACACTCGGCATCCATCTCTCTCTTTGCCTCTATCACTTCCACTTACAGGTAGCATATATCCCTTGTTCCATTCTTATATCTCTATGGCTTTAAATGTTATCAGTTGGTCACACTTTTCATCTTTTCTATCACGTATCGCAAAATAAATTTGCCAGTTTTTAGAGCATTTATAAGTTTGCTACGGGCCAAAAAACCGCCAAAATTTTGAAAAAGCCAATATTTTACAAGATATGGCTTTGTAAAATATTCGTATCATTTTAATGTTTATTATACTTATGTATGATAATGATATATATGCTTGTATTACTTTTGATAAGAATTTCCTATAACTTTTATCTTAACTGTGTGTTCATGAAGGGTGCAAAGACAGGTGGAATTACCACCGGTTTTCCTGTACGAGCACCTCCCGCAATTCCATACCAGCCGCCGCCACACACGCCCGCTGTAACGTATGCTGCTACGTCTAATGTCGGCACATCTGGCAGAGTATTATATACGTAACATAGTGCTCGGTATCTGCGAGATGTGTAGAATAGCTAATACCTAATGAAAAACTTTTCACTTGCAGTTGTATATTATTATTTTTATTTCAACACGAAACTTATGAGGTAACATAGTGAGTAATTGAGAATGTTATTGTATGTACATTTATGGAAAATTCAACAATATTCGTGTGTGTGATTGGTATAATATTAATTGGTTATATTACTATTCAGCATATAACCAATTGCGAAATAAAACTGCAAAAATGCGAATACACGTATATACATGTACACACAGCTTGGGAAAATTATTTTTGTCAAAATTAATTCATTGTATATTCTGCGTTATCGTTGTTCAGACAGTAATGAGTCGCTTAAGTTTTCGATACTTTTTTTTTACGATTTGCTGCCGCGTATCCCATGTATTTTATATGTGCGGACCAGCACGCAGTTTTTCAAAAAGTATAATTATTTCTTTAAAAAAAGTAACTTGTAATAGTTACGAGTAAAACGTTACTTTTCCTAATTTTATGTATACATACCCGGGAAAAATGATTATATATGATCATATATAATCATATAAAATTATATAAAATCATATATGAATTTTGCCCATATATATGGTTACATATATGATCACATATGTTTATATAAAAAAAAATGATATTATGTCATTTAATCAAATGTCGATATCATGTGCTGTCAGAAGCATAAGTAGCCAAAAGCATTTACTTCGATTGTATTTGCGTATAATTGTAAACAACAGTATTTTTTCGTTGTAGACACGTATGATTATTTATAATCATATATAGTCATATATATGGGCAAATTTCACATACGATCTTTTTTTCCTGGGTATGTGCGTGCGCATGTGTGTATGGGTACATTACATGGATATAAAGTCATTATAAAGATTTGTGTTTTATATGTGCAACAAAGTAACATGTAAGATGTAAGGCTATACACACTCGATGGAAGCGTGTTGCTAAATAAAAATAATGAAAATATAAGGATTTTCTGTTTCTTATACAACAATTAATATTTGGTCGCCTTTCCGACATCCATCGAAGACACTGAAATGTAGCAACGATCGAACCGCAGTCAAAGTTAGTGTTGAATACAATTTTGGGCAAAGAAATGCGCGAACAAACGAAAAAGAGAGAGAGAGAGAGAGAGAGAGAAATTGTATGAGTCGATTATTTTCTATAAAATTGCTTTTACGTATAAACACATTGCTCGCTTCTTTCCAAAATTACAATTAAGACATAGAAATTTAATTCGCAGTGGCATTGATGATACACGGCGGCGTGAAACGCACGTAACGTACAGTGTTCCAGACGTTGATGTACGTCGAGGACATGGTTATCGCGACACCGATCGCCACGATGAAATAGCCGAAGCCGTTAACCATTTTCTCGAAATCGCACAATCTCTTCGGCGCTGTTTTCTCCATGATTTCTTCTCTTACACTATCCGCGAATTTCACAGGTCGAGTTACAGTCGGTTCGGCGGCATCGATGAGGAACGGCCGGTCTACCGGATGCGTGTTGCTCAGCGGAATTTGAGTGACTCCCTTGTTTCGATTGTCCTCGTGGTGATCGTTGGGTCGTGAATCCTCCTCATCATCCATCAAGTCGTCGTAATAGAGATACGTGTATCTGTTGAAAATGCAAAAATTACATTATTGATTAACATTAATACATGTGATTCATTATATAATATTTTTCATTTCTTCTTTTTCTTTTACGAACATAGATCTGCTTGCTCCGTGAAACCGTGTTGCTAAGACGCTAGTTTCCTCGCCGCCGTCATTTTAACTAATGACGTCACAAGTGAGAGAAGTATGGCCAAAATTCTTGCGAAGTACGTTGAAGTAAAAGGATATGTTCATCAAGTGATATTTGTGATCGATCTGAGCTCATTTGTAAAATATTCCGAAAATTTTCCGCGTTTGTTTTAACAATCAATAAATAGCCGTAAAATTTATATAGAAAAATCATGAGAAAAAAGATAGGCTAAAAAGGAAAATTACATGTCATGAACATGTCGTTTTCAAGTTAAAGTATTTGTTGTCATTATCCATCACTTCCTGATAAAATTACTTATTTTTAAACTAATAAAATCATCAACGACCTGTCGAATTTCTTGGCAAGTTCCTAATATAATTTACCTTAAATTAATTTAGATATCTATATTTGCGTTTATTTGTAATACCTGCGAGGATTATTGGTGGCACTGAGGAAACCGTAGTAGATCGAGCGCGAATGAGCTTTGATGTCCATCGAGTGTTGTTCTTCGCCGCTGAATCTTCTGCGGGAACCCGAATGAATCTCTTCGGTAACCGCCGCCTCGGTAGACTTCTGCTTCAAAGCTAACACTCGGCTGTATATCAGAGGTGGCAACACGAATACCAGCGACCCGGTTAACGATCCGCCGATCAAAGCCATGACGATGTCAAATCGCGACACCGATTCGCCCACGATTACGCTGAGAAGAACCACCGCCGACCTCATGGCACATCGTTTCCATCCGAACGCTGTTACGATAATAACGTTACAATAATAAATAAGTTACAATAGCAAATAAGTTAATGTTAATACATAAAAAGTAACTAAATTTAAACTCATTAAAAATGCTCAGCTTAACTCAGTTAACTCAGCTCATGCTTGACTCACGCTTAACTAAGTTAAAAATTCAGTCATTTAAGCTTAATTAAATTGAGTTAAAAGTTATTAATTTTTTTAATTTTTAACTCAACTTTAGCTCATTCGCGCTCGATTTAATTTTTTTCATTTTTAACTGAATTAGCAAGTTATTACGCTAGTAAAAATGATTTCACTTACTTCTTTGTACGCTCCACAGATCCTCCAGATGCTGGAAAAGTGCCGAGTAGCCGATCACGCTGGAGAAGCACAGCTGAAGGGCAGCCAGCAGCACAGCGATGTTCGAGATTGATCCTGATGGCACGGCTTCGAGGATGTTAGCAGTCGTGCTGTCACCATATTTCCACACGGCCAAGGCAACGGTAACAGTAAATAGAGATCCGCTCGCTACACACAAAAACAAATATAGAACCAATATGGAAAATGTACAAAATATAAAACAAGAACTATATTTCTTACTTATGAAAGAGAAGAGGACGGCTTTGTCGATGTCCCGGGGTCGACGCATATCGACCTGTATTGTCATCAGGGTTGGATGCACGTCGAATTGAAAAGCCAGTATGCCGTAACTGAAAATTTGCATACAGCTGTCAGTTACTCAGTTAGCCGATTCTTTGATAAGAAGACAAACTGGTGAGGTAGATTGAGGTAATTGATATATTAATAATTTACTTTGTAATTATAAAAATTATAAAAAATGTTGATTATAATATTGTTTGGAAAAGATTTGTGTCAGAAAATTTAGTCATGTAAGTATATAAGTATACGAGACGGTCTGTATACCCGGATATAAATTTATCCCACGTCGGAGAAGTGGCTATTGGCGTGGCCATGGACATTCGATCATCAGTTATAATGCTCCACCATACTAATATCGCAGTTAAAGTAACCGCTATACTAGAGCACGTCGCTACCCATCTATAATAATTTAGTAAATATTAAAAATATATATATATATATATGTGTATATATATATATTTTTTTTTATATTTATATAAAGAAAGATAACATAAACATTCTATAGAATGTTTTCCTCTGGATATCTAATTGAACAATTTATTAGATATTACCTATTCAGATTTGATTTTATCTGAATTCATTTGAATTCTGAAAAATAGCTTGTACTTTACACATTATATTATATTTATCTTACTTCATATCCCGTGGACTGCCCAGCCACATTAACGGACAAAATAATACGCCGACTATCAGTAACCAATAGCAGAAGGAAAGGTCGAAACGCTGGCCTGATACTTTGAGCCCGAATAAATGCAGATTCTGCGAAGCTAAAAAACAATTTATATTTAACATAACGAACAATGAGATACACAAAATGCTTTTGTTTAAGGGAAACAATTCGGAGTTACATCTGCGTGGAAATTTGGAAATACAAAATCATTCATTTTTCCTGTTCTTTCACCAAAACATATAATAATTCAAAAATTTTAATTGAACAAATAATTATTATACTCTTAGGTAGAACAGAAAATAACGTCAAAATTATGAAAAAATGTTGACGTCATCGTCATTTTCTGTTCTACCTGGACTTACGCCGTATATTTACCGTGGGTTTACTAATAACAAACGGAATAAATTTCAGAGCGACATATAAAAAGAAATTCCCGCGTTTTTCAAGTTAATAATACAATGTAAAGTATTTTTTTACTCACCAACCAGCAGATTCGGAATACCGCAACCAAAGACTGTCAGATCCAAAAGTACAGTGACGATAGATCGTGCACATGGACCCATTGTTAATTCCGTCACAGCGGCAAGAGGATATCTGCAATTTTAGTCATATTAAAATGTAGAATCTATAATTTTTTAACATTTCTATTATTCTTTTAGGTAATGCACGAATGTCTAAGAGACGATTAATGAAGAGAAACAAAGTCTATTATTTTTCTATGGGTTACCGAGAAATGATTTCGATCGAATCTCCTTTAAAATTTTGAAGACGCCCATGAAATTTTTGGCGTTCTAAATAAATTTATCAAACGAAACGAGAATTTGTGGTAATACCGATTCTTCCGTGAGATTTGCGGATCTAGAGTACTGGCGATGATCCATGATTTTCCCAGCAGAGTGGCAGTATAAATTTGCAACCCGAAGACAATCAGCACCAGTGGGATTCCGTATAACCCTGATAACATACATGTGTGTGATCCTTCTTTTTAATTTCTTGGTATACAAAACTATCATTTTCTGAATACATTAATATCTGTCACGCAAGAACTACCTGTTTATATGTTTATTATGCAAATATCTCTCTACATTACGATTTCTGATACAGACAGGTGCAATCAATGACTCCAATAGTCAACACTAAAACAGCAATACAATAATAGATTCACACGAAAGAGTTAAAATTCTGCAATAAACTCGTAACCGTCAAAAATTGTAAATTTTATAAATATGTACATTGAAAACTGTAATTTTTTAAAGAAAAATTGCTGAAATATTGTCGAAAGTAATTTTTTACTGAAATATTGATGACATGATAGTAAAATGAGATTTCAAAATTAAGAGAGATTTTAAAATATATTTCAGCAAATTTTCATTATGTTTTCAGTAAAATATTCCCATCAGAGTTCTCACAAGATTTTTAAGAAGGTCACAGATCAGTGATAGGAGAATCGAGTTTTCTCGCATAAAGGAATTCACTGCCGTCTAAATAAGAATCTCTCGATCGTAACTGAACCATCGTCGATCGCGGTTTCGTGGAGCAACGAAAAAGAATTTACCACATTGGACGATCGCGCGCGGCAAAGCGATGATCGGGAACACGCCGAAGATATCAACGATGCACAGGGTTGCGAAAAACAGTGACAATCCCGAATTCGCGTTCCTCCAGAGCAACGGGATACTCTCGCGATTCATGTCGCGACTTTCGCAATTCGCGCTGGAATATCACCACGGTACCCGGCATCGACAGTGCGGACCGGTTCCCACGGTTCCCCTCGGTGTGCACTGCATCGCAAAGGTAACTCGATACGTATCGAGTGAGGAATGACTTACTCCGCCGGCCGGCTGGAGGGCATCGAGGAAGACTTACAATGTATACGACTTTCACGTTTAGCAGGTGATCGCACACTACGCGTCAATACAACCCAACCCACCCCAGTAAGCAAGAAATCTATAACACAATGTTATTACAATGATATTTTATAATATATAATATATGTTTTCAAATATGTGGTTTTTAATGTTGCATACAATGTCATTGTTAACAATCTTTGATCGAAACGTTAAAAATAATATTTCCACACTATGATTTTAATATTTAAAAACATAATATTGTCAAGTAACAGTTTAAAAACAGTTGTAAAATATTATGTCGAAATGTTTATAAAACCCACATAAAATCATAAAATCAATGAAAGATTTTAAGAACGTTAAATTTTTCATTGATTTTATGATTTTATGTGGGTTTTATAAACATTTCGACATAATATTTTACAACTGTTTTTAAACTGTTAACGTTTCTTGCTTACTGGGAATACAATACAGCGCACAATGGTCTAAGATAGATTTTTCTTGGCAAAAGTCATTTTTTACAACTTCACTTTAAGTTAATATAAATGCAGTTTTGTGAAATTCTACAGTTAAATAATCATAAATTGTAATCAGTTGTTATTCTTTTATCACTTATTAGTTAATGCGATGCTAAAAATCCTGTGAATTCACTTTTTATCTATACAAAAAAAATAAAAAGTTTAAAGTTTTCTTTTTAAAACGCTTGTATTACATTTTCGAATCAAATAATTTTTCGCTCTGAAAACTCAACTGAAAAACGAAGTTTAAAATGGAGCGATTGCCATTTTTCATTTAACTCGAAAAATTTTGCCGAAAATTAGCAACAACATTAATATAGCTAATATGGTTAAAAATTAGAGACTTCAAGCTTTAAAGTGCTTTTTGAACGATATTACAATGGAAAGCACGCCTAACCAGCCCTTGAGTCATACTACTTGAGAAATAGAAATACTTCTGACTCCATCGTTTAGTCATACCACGATCTCAATTTCGTAGCGGAGATTCTGGAACTAAATTACAAAAATAACGGGTCTAATAATTCCGTACACCCGTTATTTTTAATATTGGGAAGAACGAATCTACGGAATTATTATATAATATTACATATATTACATGCTAAGAATGGAAAGTTTTCTTCCAGGAGTTAGTGTATGAGGGCTGGTCAGACGTACTTTTCACTATAATAAAGCAAGCGAAATTCAATAGGTTGTAACTTTTGCAATAATGATTCTATCGAGATTGTTCAAAAAGCACTTTAAACTTGAAGTCTCTAATTTTTAACCACATTAGCTATATTAATGTTGTTGCTAATTTTCGTCAAGATTTTTTGAGTTAAATGAAAAATGGCGACCGATAATTTTGAACTTCGTCTTTTAGTTGAGTTTTTAGAGCGAAAAATTATTTGATTCGAAAATGTGATACAGGCGTTTCAAAAAGAACACTTTAAATTTTTTACATATTTGTTAATGAGTGTCATATGTACGTTCATTTTAATTATGACGTGAATAATCGACTTATCTAACGTTGAAATAATCGATTTTTCTAGAAGGAATAATAATCGAACATCGATTCATCGATCGATAATTGCCCATCCCTACTCCTATGTCATGTCGTTCGTCCAAGATGGCAACGTCGTGATCGCCGTTTCGAGGAGAAGCGGGATTTTTCGGCGAGTGTTGTTTTAAGAGTTATCACGACGTGATAAGTGTGAACGAATCTGTCCTTTTGCGGATACCGTCAACACTGTGCTGTCCGGCAAATCTATTAGTGTATAATCATCATCGGCATCGTGTGAGCCACGGAATCATGTCTGACGAGAAGAAGGTAACGCTTCTTAACCTAACCTAACAAAATGTATCGAACGGTTATTTACGATGTAGCGCGGGCCGGAGCAACTTTCGCGCGTCTTATTACAATCGTTCTTTGTTCGTGACAGGAAACGAAAGCGGAATCGGAGCACATAAATTTGAAGGTGCTGGGTCAGGACAACGCGGTAGTACAGTTTAAAATTAAGAAACACACACCTCTCCGAAAATTGATGAACGCGTACTGCGATCGTGTAGTAAGTATCGTTATGTGAAACTCTCAAACACAGATCTTTGTCGATAATCATGTGAAATAGTTTTATCGAGTATATTTAATATTAACACTACTCACTAGTCTTTGTGAGTCATTGAAAATATGGTTGGTTTGTACTATTAAGTCTTAACCAAATCTGAAAGTACACACTAAAGTCGAGAACTTACTGAGTGCTTAGTGAATGAATGATTATATTACTCAATGTACATATTGTATAATCTAAATATCAGAAAAATATAACTTTCCTGTTAATGCCTTTCTTTTTTGTACAAGATTGGTTAATAAGGTGTTATATAGTTGTATATAATTATTAAGCATATAATATACTGTTATGATTGATGTTACATATTGCAGGGTCTGGCAATAGCAGCAGTAAGATTTAGATTCGACGGGCAGCCCATTAACGAATTAGATACACCAACAACATTAGAGATGGAGGAAGGAGACACAATAGAGGTATATCAACAGCAGACAGGAGGTTTGTGTTGAGATCCAACAAAAGTGGACAGATGGACTAAATAAAAATTATCGTTCCAGTGTTTACTTCTAATTCAAAAAATATATTTTTTTTTGTTTACCTCTACTCGACTATCTGAAAAATCGAAGACTTTGCCATTTTCCCTATAATGCGTGCGGCATAACGTTTGTTGTATCATTGGAGAATAATTTTATTATCACTTCTCTCTTTGACGTTGTATTGAAATTACTTGTTATTTAAATACTTAATAGTAGTTGTTTGTATTCAAAAGCTCGCATTATGCTATCGCTCGAAGTCTTCGGTAGTCGTAATTGTATACTGTAAACAGCGATAGGTTTCTATTAACACGACACATCCGAATACAATCGTTCGCAGGTCGTGAAATAAGAGCTTACGTTATTGCTGAGAAGAAAATAAAGCGACAGGTATTGTAAGTTATATAAGGAAGTAACATTTTCACCATTTTATCATCTTGAAACGTCGAAATTTCTTACGCATGATTTTCACGCGACTCAGCAATGTAACCATACAGATTTCATAATAAATTCTCATTTTTAGATATCTTCTTTTTATATCTATAAACTGTACAGAGGAACGCCATAGATTATAGCGGGCACTAACGCTCGTGTATGCATGCAAACAGAGCTGTTCGTGAGTTTCTCGGATTTCATCTGTACGCTTTATTAAGATAGTATTTTGTATCGAGGACACTATCGTTATACATAATTTACGCGCGGCCCACGTTACTTTGTACAGCGAACGAGAATAAATCGTGTGTTATCTTTTCTAAGAAAACCTTCCATTCTTAGCATGTAACTCTTACAATTATTAAGTTTTTGACAAAAACGCTACATAACGTAATTTTTGTGAGTGATAAACATTAGTATGCGAGATGATTTATATTTTCTTTGTGGAATGTGTGCAGTATATTTTTGTCAAGATTCAAATATTATACGAAATGTGAAATGTGTGTGTATCCTGGATATAATACATTAATTATATATATTTACTGAATACAAATTTTATATAAATGTAAAGTACACGCATTTTAAAAATATCTTTAAACATGCATTTTTATCACGTGTCGTTTATTGAGATTTATTAATTATTAAAGTAGAAAATTCAATAAAGTTTGTAATGTATATTTTAGTACACAGAATTTTTTAGTTTTCAGTTGTATCATTATGTTTTCCGTGCTCAAAATAAGATAAGTTATATTTGGAATTTTGCGGAGAGAGGGAGAGAGAAGAGAAATCCAGACAACACAACTTTTAAAACATTACTACTAGTCGATTATTCTCCTTATATTCGAATATGATTGGTCAATTTTTTATTCCTTCTTATGAATATATTCTTACTGCCCATTGTAAATTACGTTTTAAATCGAGACATAAGACGTCCGAAAGACGTCTTACAAACGTCTTATATCTCAATTTTAGACGTTATGTATTTGGGAATAGCTTAAAAATACGAAAAATGCAGGCAAGAACAGGTACGTATGAATTCTTTCCTCTAGCTTGAACCCGTGAAGAGTGAAAATCTTCCAACTTAAATTTACTTGAAAACATTTGGAAATGTTTTCACGAATTTACGATAGAGAGACTTCACGATCGCCTCTCTGCAGTAGGGACTTGTGAAAAATGAAAAATAATTTCCAAAAGTTTTCAAGCTGGAACATCTTCACGAGTTCACGCGAAAGAAGAAACTTCCTGATCGATCCCCTGCAATAAAATCCGCTCTTTTTTTTTCATTTTGAATACAGAAAGTGCGCAATAGTGGAGCCAAAAAGAACAGACGTACGAAGGCTGCTCTTCAGACTCTCTTTACGCGCTGCAAGCATCATTCCTTCTTCTTTTAGCATGTGACGAACAATAAAGATAGAGTGACGCTGCGCGCGTCCAGAGGGAACGCAGCACGCACACGTCCGACATATGTCGATGACCGCCGAACGTTTCCGATCCCGCCAGCTGTCTGCACGCGCCCGAAGTCGTGATTTTGACAGCGATCTGACATATTTTGACGTTTTACTCATGAATTAGGGATCGCGGAATAAATCGACACGCAGAATGATGTCCGAGAGAGATTACGCGCCCCTAAGTGCGGCGTGTGTGCGTTCTCTCAATGACAAATTGTACGAGAAACGGAAGCCAGCCGCGGTTGAAATCGAAAAGTGAGGTTATCTCTAAACCACTGTTTATCATATCCGAATATTAGTTCATCCTCATTTCACGGATTAAACAGAAAGAGATTGTTCCCTTCTCGCAGGATGGTGAAGGAATTCGCCGCTCACAACAACACCGTGCAGATCAAGAGGTTGCTAAAGGTACTCGGCCAAGACTTCGCAACCTCGCAGAATCCACACACGCGCAAAGGCGGTCTGATAGGCCTGGCGGCGATTGCCGTCGGCCTCGGCAAGGACACCGGCCAGTACATAGAGGATTTGATCCACCCGATCCTGGCGTGTTTCTGCGACGCTGACTTGAGAGTCCGTTATTATGCCTGTGAGAGTCTGTACAATGTTGTCAAAGTAGCCAGAGGCGCGGTGTTGCCCCAGTTCACGGATATCTTCGGCGCTCTGAGCAAACTCGCCTGCGACTCCGAACAGAATATAAAGAATGCCACCGAATTGCTCGACAGGCTGATGAAGGTGAATCTTTCATATTTTCATCTATCGCTGTGCGTCGATTGGTCAGTTTCATCTGTTTTTTTAGCTGAACTGATTGCACTACTGCAAGAGATATACATATTGAAACATAGTGAAATGTACGTACGAGATTCTCACATTTCAATATGTACATTTATTGAACCAATGTAGTCAATTCAGCTAAAAAGAACAAAGTTTCTCTTATTTTGTCTAATATTTTGTGTTGTTTCAGGATATCGTGACAGAGAGTGGTCTCTTCGATTTAGTCGGATTCATGCCGCTGTTGCGTGAACGCATCTATACGAAGAATCCCTTCGGTCGTCAGTTCGTGATAGCGTGGGTGTCTGTGCTGGCGGCGGTGCCCAACATGGACTTCATATTGTTCTTGCCGGAGATACTCGACGGATTGTTCAGGATACTGGAGGATCCGACGCCGGAGATCAAGAAGATCACGGACACGGTGCTCGGTGAATTTTTGCGTAGCATAAAGTCAAATCCCGCGAGAGTGGACTTCCCGGCCATGATAAATATACTGATCATGCACGCTCAGAGTACGGACGAGCTGCTTCAGTTGACGGCGATTACCTGGATAAAGGAATTTGTCCAGCTGTCCGGGCCCCTTATGCTACCGTATATGTCCGGCATTCTTCTGGCCGTTTTGCCGTGCTTGGCTTACGACGGTGACACGCGAAAGAGTATCAAGGAAACTGCGACACAAGTGAACGCGAATCTAATGAAATTGATAATCATGGAAAACACGGAAGTCACGAAGGACAGCAAAAAAGAGACCAACGATGTACATTCTACAACAAAGGAGAAGGAAGGTAAACTATTAGTTTACAATTTAGCACATTTCCAATTCTTTACCGTTAAAAAAATGTCTTGAAATCTTAAAAGTTTTGAAAGATGTGAAACATCAGAATATTTGTTAGATTTTGTAAGAACTAAATTGCACGATTATATTTTTTAATATTTAGAACAGTATCTTATTTGTCTAAGCTTGATATGATTTCTGTTACCCCTCGTATGCAGTTTTAATATAGAAAATTCCCATGATTCGTAAGAATTTCACAACGTTTAGGTCTGTCGAGTCTTTGAGATTTTTTAAGGATTCACAATTTCAAATAGAACATTCGGGATTCTCGACGATCAAATAGTTGGAAAATAACTAAACGGCTGTTACTGTGTACGACTCGGAAAAGTTGACACGACGATAACCGTTCTCCTTTACTTTCAGATGCGAGCTGTCCTTTAGCCGAGAGCTTAAATCTCGCCAGTGTCGTAGAAGTACTTACAAAACACTTGTTGTACATATCTGTCCAGACTAAAGTCGCTGTTTTAAAGTGGATACATCATCTATTTATAAACATTCCACACAAGATGTTCCATCACATAGAGGACTTGTTTCCGATATTGATGAAATCCTTGAGCGACGCCTCCGACGAGGTGGTGCAGCAAACTCTAGTCGTAATGGCCGAAATTATCAGCTCGAAGTCTCCGGAGGCTGCGACCAGCGAACCCAACGCGAAGATGCAGAATAAATACTTCACAAAGTTCATAGTGAATTTACTGAGGCTCTTCTCGACCGACAGACATTTATTGGAGGAACGAGGTGCTTTTATTATAAGAGAATTGTGTGTGCTCCTGAGTGCGGAAGATATATACAGAACTCTGGCTAAGATACTATTGGAGGAGCAAAATTTAAGCTTCGCGTGTACGATGATACAGACTCTGAACGTGATCCTGCTAACCAGTTCCGAGCTCTTCGATCTGCGCAACAAGCTCAGGCACTTGGATTCTCCAGTAAGTCCGTCGTTTAACTGGCTCCCTCGTGAAATTTCATTAGATCGTTGACTGGAATTTGTGCTTTTAGGACAGTTGCGCGTTGTTCGAATGCCTGTACGTGTCCTGGTGTCACAACCCAGTTGCGACAGTGGCCCTGTGTCTCTTGTCTCAGCATTACCGACATGCGTGCAACATCATTCGCTCTTTGTATCCTTTATTCCGCTTAGTCTCATGAACTTCTATCATGTCAGCAAATATGCTTCGAAAGTGATGAAAACCTTAACGCAGTATCTTTCTGATGCTTCAGCGAGAATATCGAGGTCACAGTGGAATTCCTCACCGAAATAGATAAGTTGGTGCAGCTAATAGAATCGCCGATATTTACTTGTAAGCATACTTACGCCAATTGATGTTGAAACGAGACATGTCGAAAATTATTCTGCGATTTAACGATAATTATTCTTTCACTGACGAGAGATTAGTCGTGATATTTCTCTGGTAGTGGAATAAACTCTTGATCCAGACTTTGAATTACCGTCAAACTTTTAATGCAACTTTTAAATGCAACATAGATCAATTTGTAATTTTTTCATTATTTTGAGTTATGGACAATACATCCTTAAATTGACTTCCGAGTTAATGTCGCGTCCTTCATGGATTTGTTTCCGATATTTCGTGTACACGTTCATCTCTTCAAGGTGAGGAGAAATAGCCTGAAACTTAAATCCGTCGGAAGCAAATCCAATGGAGGACGCAGCACTAATTCGCAAGCTAAATAAAATGTTTATATGTGATTTTTAACACTGCTTTTTTTTACCAATGAAATACTAACTGTGGCGTTTCTTTGTCGAGACCTGAGACTGCAGCTCTTGGAATGGGAGGAGAATGACGCCCTGATATACGCGCTATACGGCTTGCTGATGATATTGCCGCAGAGCGAAGCGTACAGTACTCTGCAGCGTCGTTTAGCGGCGATACCGCCAGCCACGAAGCCACCGAAACCATCAAAAACCGAACAATCGCAACAGAAGGCAACGGATGTCCATTGCAAGTTCGACTTCGGCAAACTGTTAAAACACTTCCACGTGGTTCAAGAACAGCACAAAGAACAGAAGCGCAAGCAAAGGTTCAATGCTTTGGTGGAGAGAAACACTCATATAGACGCGTAAATCACGCAATGAAACTGCGCGTAGCGACTTTATACGCGTGATATACGCGAAGGATACATCTAATTTGCTAGTTTTATACCATGTGCCCCGCATAATCATACAACAGAACTGTATACACGTTTACGTTTAGCTTTGTTGTATTATAGCTTCTCTCGAGAGCTATAATTATTATTTATTGCGATGCAATCGTTCTCACGTTGCATCGGAAATAAAAACGACGATATAAGTTGACCTTAAAGTTTGTAGTTTACTTGATAAAGGTAACAATAAGACATGTTCAACGGTTTTTACATTATATCCTTAGATCTGTACACATTAGCGCGCATATGTACATCGTATATCGTATCTCTCTAAATCTATACCCTAATTTTCAGTCTTCATCTCATTTAAGTATCGTCAGGATTGATGGAGAAATGACAAGATTGCCCGTATTAGAGCTGATATTCCGAATCCCCTATATCTTCCAATTTATCAATCGCCGACAAATGGTCAAGCTGATCTATGAGCTGACCGTTTTCATAAAGTATTACCGTAATTTGTTCTTGCACGTCGCAGATATTGCGCCATTTCTTCGTGCTCTCCTGGGCGGGCACGCTCGTCTTCTCGGTGGTCTTCGGCTTGCCCGGTAGCCGGTCCAGCGAGTGCAGCAGGCTTTCGTGACGCTCCTTGCTCTCCTGCGATAAGCGATAGGAGAACGACTCCAAGGCGTGCTCGTAGCTGTCTATGTCCTTATCCAATATCTGCGTCTGCAGGTACACCGTCTGCGCCATCTTGTACCAATCGGCGACACACTCGGACCGCTGCGTCATGGCTGGTACACACTCAGTCTCGAGGAGCGTCTTCAACCTGCGTCCTGTTTCCGTCACCTGCATCTCAGACCAAATCCAGCATCCATTATTTTTAAGACGTCTCCGCTGGTTTGTCATTATTGTAATGTACATTATAACTCCATCTCTGCGTATTCAAAAAGACGTTTCAAATAATGTTCCGAAGACGTCTTTGAGACATCTCTTAAGATTCTCAGGTTCGGTTGCTTTGTCAAATTCTGATTAAGGATGTATTGCCTATTAGTGTCGTATTTTCATCAAGAGAGCCACTCATAAATTTAGTATTTATCGAGTAAAATTATGTTCCTTTGAATTATGGGTAATATGTCCTTGAACTAAGCGACAATTAATTTATAGGATTGCAAATAAAATTCCCAACTTGTCTTTCTCAATTTTTTCTGCGACAGAAATTTCAGTTGGTGACCTTGTAAGTTAACCGTCACTTAGCTTAATTGAAGTTATGCAGCTAGGCTTCAATGTTCTTAAGCGTCATCGTCATAACAAGTTCCCTGGGATATATTATATCATGATGAAAAAGATAGGAGTTGCGACATATAAGCCATAAAAAATAATTTGCACAATTTGTCGGCTCACACATCGGCGTACACCAATTTACAAATTCCAACAATAAAAATTATCATTCGTTTCTTGTTCGTTCGCTCAGTATATATCCAGCTTTATACGCACCTTTATACGTTCGAGAACATGAAACTGTTCGTCATTGTAGGTGAGACTACGAGTGGCACGGTCCCTCAGCAGATGTTGCCAACCGTCCCTCAGACGATCCACCAATGTCGCTGCCCGTTGGCTCGCTTTTGTGGCCCACGGGCACCATAGGTCGCGGGTACTATTGTCCCATTCACCGCGTAAACTACCCTCTTTTACGTACCTACGTTTCATGTTCGTGTTAATTATATGTTAATCGAGTTTGTCAAGTAGGGTTGCCACAGAAAACGAATTTTAAAATGGCAATCTTGGTCAAGAATTCGCGCGACTTACCTCTGATGAAGCTGCACTATTGCCGGCGCCAGCTCGGTCGCGAGTTCCTTGCCCTTTGCGTCTAGTTCTTTCCGCCAATTCTTCGTCTCCACGGCGCTCTGGCCGCCGAACTTGCGGAATACCTGTTTGGCGAAGTTCTCAATCCTCTCGATCGCCAGTACGGTGTCCTCGATAGCTTTCGTGAACTCCCTGGAATGCTGGTACTTGCCCAACACTCGAGTAAGCTCCAAAGACAAGAGCCCGCTGAACGCCTCTATCGCGTCGCGCGACAACTTGCTGCACAAGGCTAGCTTGTCTATTCTTCGTTTGCAGACGTAACCGACGGAGCAGGCGACTTTCGCTTGGATCGCGTCGTTCTCCACGGAGACGATGTTGGGAAAAACGGGGAACTTTGGTAGCTCGCCTTCCATCGGCAGCAGCACATTGTTGTTCTCCCGCGAAAACAGCATCAGCGGTTTGTCGTTGCTGGTGTCGGGATAACCTTTACCCGGTGTTGACTCCTCGACGAGGCTCGTAAGCGGTGTCTCGCCGAGAAGCAAGATCTGCGCGTGTGGCATGATCTCCGTTTGATCTTGAATATGTATCTGCAGGGCGACCAGCTTCTCCTCCGGATGGAGGAAGACTTTGATGAGGCTGGCCTTGTGCACGTTGAATATGTGAACAGGCTTCCGGCACAGCGTGTCGGTGACCTCGCTGAAGAACCGCTCGAAGCTCCAAATCCTCTGCGGATCCGCCTCGAGCAGGCCGGCCAACAACGGCGTCACTATCTTCTTCAGGCCGGCGCTCAGCTGACAGTTCTGCGGCAGTTCCCGACTCCACTCGATCGGCCCGTTCTCCGAGGTCTGCAGTCCGGATATCATGCCCGACATTTTCTTCGTGGTGATATGGTACATGGTCTCTTTGTTCCGCCGGCCGCCGAACGGACGGAACGGCAGGTTCCCAGTGGCGACATGATAGAGAGTTACCCCTATGGACCACAGGTCGACGGTCGCGCCGAACATCTTGCTGACGGGCTTCCTCAAGACAGCGCGCTCGTACATGTCCGGGTGCAGGTACTCCTCCGTACCGTACAGAGAAACGAACTGCTGGTCCTCCTGCAATTCCCGGGCAGCTCCAAAGTCAGTCAGTTTATACACGGTGCTGCCGTCGTCAGCGATGAATTTCATTATATTACCTGCAAAAGAGAAAGAGATCTCGATGAAGGTCTGGATATGTATACATTTTCCTTGATAATCAAAGTAAAAATACATAAAACTCATTAATATGCTGGATTGAATCAAGAATATTAATCAATATTGAATTTTCATTATAGGAGAAAATTGAAAGCCTGGAGAAATATCTAACATAACAAAACAAGTGGATAAAATTGACAAGAGTCCCTCAATATAAAATAACGATTTAGGAGAGGAGGCCTATAGAAAGTAGGACATGAGTGTATGTACACAAAGATATATGTCAAAAACAATTGACTGTAAATATCAAACGTATCATATTTTCAAGATTTATCAATGCGAATCTGTATCAGATATATCAATCCACTTCAAAGAAGATAGGCCTACTTTGTTCAGGCAATTGTTCTAAAGGACAAAGAAAAATATGACACTTATGCCTGTTTTTACCATAGTTTAAATCTAATCGATGATTAACTCAACGGAATTGACCAATCACACTAACAACTGAACTGATCAATGCAATCGGCCAATTCCATTGAATTAATCGTCAATTAGATTTAAACCATGATGGTAGAAAAGGGCATTACATGTTGTGCTATATTATACCTGTAGAATTAAATAATTATTATTTTAAATAGTAACTGGCAACAGTTTTAATTTGCACATTTAAATGTTATATGCTATATATCAAGATATAAATATTGTAAGTCATTTCAGTATCTCCTACTTTCATACTTAATATTTAACTTTTATTTTAATAGCTGTACAGTATCTAAAGATATAAACATCCAAACTAGAAATAATAATATAATATTGGTTATTTAAGTACATTGTTTTGCATATCTATATTGTGAACATTGGAATGAAAGTAATAATTCACAGTATTGTAGGCTTTATAGGCCTAATTGATATTTTGACACTCTTATTTAAAAATATTGTTTCTGTCCTTGTACTGCTTGCACTTGATCTGTTCCTTTTAGCTGAACTGGTTACACTAACTCAAGAAATGTACGCATATTGAAGCTTGAGAATCTTGAATATAAGCTTCATATATTTCAATATGTATGTAATTTTTTTTGAACTAGCGCAGTTTAACTAAAAAGAACAGACCATATGTTTCAGTATATATTGAACTAGTATAGTCAATTCAGCTATAAAGAACAGATCAATGGACATTATATATTAAGAGTAAATAACTCCATGTCTCTAGTTTATATGTCACCTGGCTTCAAATCCCGATGGACCAGATTGTTATCACGCAGATGCTTCATACCAGCCGACAGATGTTCCAGCACCAATAGGAACTCACTCTCGGCCAAGCCATACGTGTTCTCAGGATCGTCGAGGATGTTGAAGAGGCTGCCGCCGGTGCAAAGTTCCATGACAATCACCTTACCACGGCCATCCTGCTCCTCCTCGATCGCCAACAACTTGACGATGTTTTCATGCTTGACCTTCTTCAGCACCTCGAACTCCCGCATCTGCACGTCGTGCGGTCGCATGTGGCTCAGCTGGTTGAACGTTTTGACCGCCGCTGGCTCGCCGTTGTTCTTGTTGACACCCTGGAAGACCGCGCCGGTCGCACCCTTGCCAAGCACGCTGGTGGTGCACCAGACGTAGTTGGCGGAGCCGCGCAGGAAAGACATTCTGTTCAATTTTGTGCCTTCGGCTTGACATCGACAACGCTCACGATCGCTCGCTTTCACCGCTGCCGTTCACCACCTTCGGCGCGTTCCCCGCTCTCCATCTCAGGACACGGCAAGAGACAACTTGTCATCTTGACTTACGAGGGATTCACAGGGCGGCCGATATCGCCGACGTGCACGACATCCAACGTCCAATTGAAGAGTCCCCTTCCTAGAGAGGAAAACATGTCGTCGGCTAGGCGACTAGAGTTCGAGTCTTCCTATTGGACAATTTTCTCTGCAATTTTTGAGCGCGATTCACGACGGGTTGCCGACGCAAACGACATCTCAGTCGGACGAACCGAGCGCGACGTGAACGACGACGGATAAGGCAGATCCGTTCGACCGATCTCGAACACGGCAACCATTTTTTCGAGAACAATTCGAAGAAGTCGTGAAACTCCTCGAGAAAACTTCTGAGTAAAATTGCCACTTTATATTCCTACGTGCGTAGGTAGTATGTTAATTTCATAATTATCATATCGCGGGGAATACTAAAGACGTAAAAACGTAAGTATTCATAGAAACACGGTGAGACAAGTTAAGGGTTCGCTAAATTGATTTCGCGCGTTTATCCTTATTCTCACACGCGTCTTGTAACTTCATAATTGCTTCGTGATTATTGTGTTATTTTTGTACTGTATGCGTATGCATCGGGAATTAATTTCCGTCAGCGGACTTCTCGGCTGTTTTAGCATGAACGATATCGAGACGTCCCGTGTATATACACAGCCGTGCAGATTTCCCGCCCCTACTAACTTCCGCCTTTACTTCTCTCGATAAAGCGGCATGACGAGAAGAGCGAGAAAGCGAGATCACACACACAAATGCACGGGCGATAACCCTCGACACGCGACTCGACGATGACACCGGGGGGTCATCGGAATTACGAGAGCTGTTGAATCACTGGAAAATCTGGTATTCACGAAATAATGGTAGTCAAAGAAGGTATACACGATTTTATGTCGACGCCACGCCGAGTTTACGCGATCATTATCTCTACCGTGAGGTGCGACGAATATAATAATCCTGAGAATATATCCGGTGGATGCATCTTCAAGACGTCCATGATCGTTTCATGTTAAAGAAATTGGCTGCGTTCAGCAAAATATTTATCTTGTTACTGCTGGAAGTTTTCCGAGCTAAGATTGGATTATTCTTTTATATCTAGAAAAATAATCCAATCTCAGCATAGGAAACTTCCAACAGTTGTAAAACAGATATTCTGTTGAATACAGCCATTAACAAATAGAACTGAAAGGATAAATTATTCCTTTATTACATTTATTAAGTACTTATAAGAGATTGTAATTATTTCTTCATTAAATTCATTGAATACTCACGAGAGATTATAATTATTACTCTCTGGCTATTCTGGGAGTTTCTTTGAAATTCTAAAAACTGCATAGAAAAAAAAAGAAGCTTAATGTAACAAAACAAATAGAGATAAGAACTTGATGATGAGAAATGATATCTCTACACGAGTATTTGGCTGTCTTAAAACACTGAGATGACTGAGAACGAAGTTGACTGAATAAAAATTGTTTACAGGAACCTGTTTCTTTAGCTGAGTTTCCATCTAGTAATCCTCTGACAAGAAAATTAATTACACGAACCAAGTTTTTCCTTCCATATAATGCCGAGTACTTCGCTGGAATTATTTTGCTGGCGTTATTGCAAGCTACATGCTACTGGAGATAAGACTTCTCTCGCTATTGCGGAATTGACCAAAGAGATACATGAAAATAACGTCCACTCGTTCGCTCGCTTAGTGTAAGATATATTTTTCTATAGCTGTTTTTTTTTATTTGAATTGATTGCACTAGCATTGCACTTCTCTTCTTCTCTTTCTTGCACCAAGTCTTAATCGTATGTCTCTTTCTTTTTAAGTTCTATAAGTGTACACTAGTTCAGCGAAAAAGGACAGATCTTATATTTATAATAAGTCTGTTCTTTGTCGCTGAATTAGTGCGCATTTTTGGGGCTTAGAAAGAAACAGATATATAGCTGTGACTTTGTTTAAAAAAGAGGGAAATAGCACTAATGCAAACTAGTGTGACTAGTTCAGTTGTAAGGGCCAATTGTTCCACCTTTTTGGTAAGATTTTGGCAATTTACCTACCAGCCATTGATGTTTACTTAACAGACAAATCAACAACAGCCATTGATGTTTATAAATTTCATACATTCATTCATTCATCAATTTCGGATAAATTTCACCAAAAAGTTGGAACAATTGGTCCTAAAGAATGGACCTAATATCTGGTTGTCAGATACATTGCGATATTTCGGAGTATCGTCCGTTTGGGTACTTCAAGGAAATATCGGCCCGTATTCTGAACTCGCTTTCATTGATAAATGGTGGTTTCTCAGCCACTTTTAGCGGCACTTTTGTCAATAAAAAAAGTTCAGGATACGGGCAGTTATCTTCAGAGGACATGCTTAAAATACAAGGTTCTCTTAATCTTAGGAGAACACACTCATCGAAACGTCAGAAGTCTCTCGGAAAACGCCGGACGTTAACATCGGGCGCGGAAAATACACATTGCGCTAATCGCGAACGAATGTCGTCAATAAGCGATTCCAGGAAGCCAATTCGATCCGACGACGCAGAAAAGGATACTGAGCGTCGGCCGGTTCTCGCGATTTGATCCGGTCCCGCGTAACCCTCTCCTCCTTACTCGCGGATTCAAGGGGTTAATAATAAGAGTGCCGGGTACGAATATCGCGCTTTCAGTCGGCCCACAGCCTCTCTGCCGGCCGTGTTCTTCTGTAAGTCTGAGCGCGCGCGGCGACCCGAGTGCTCCTTCTCGTTCGCGAAGAAACGACGACGCGGAACGTATGTCGTATTAATAATGTTCGCAACGATCGACGACTGATCGGTTTTTTCGCACGAACGAACGCGAGTGCGATCCAGTGAGTCGAGAGACTCGACTCGAGAGACAATGGATAAGTTCCTGGTCGTATCCTGTGTACTTTTCGTCTGCCTGCACGCGTTCCTTCCGCCCTGTGAAGGACTCGCCGGCGCGAGTGCTAATCGGTAAAGAGTGAACCGGAATCCTTTCCGTCGTCGGCCTTTGTCCCGCGAATTAGTGGCGAGCAGTTCTCTCGCTCGCTCGCTCGCTCGCCGCTTTCTCTCTCCCTCTTTCAGTTATCACGCGCTCGAGTGCCGATAGCTCGCGATGATGCTTGCATGTCGATGTTTCTTTAAGACAATTCTCTCCGCGGTAAAAGTCTGAGAGGGTGCAGATGTCGAGGGACTGGTCGTGCGAAGCGAAAGATTGAAGCTTCTAAAGCATGTAAACGCAGCGTCTCTAAGATCGTGTTGATAATTGCCATTTGAAACTTGTCTCATGTGAGATATTCAGATTTCAGAATTCAGAATTAAATCTGAATTTTTCAGTGGAATCAGCGGGTACATTTGACTTTATATCTGTAAACATTATTTAACTGGAAAACATCCAAGGGCTATGGCACGCACAACAATTTGAACAGTAAGAAAATTGACTAATCGCAGTAGATCGTTTTTCTTATGGTACGAAGAACAATCGACTGTGATTGATCAATTTGTTTAACGTTTATAGTACTTTTTTGTAAACTCCAAACTCTGAATTCAATTCTGTGTATCTCATTTGAGATATTTTTCAAATAACAACTATTTAATACGGATCTAAATGTAAAAAAAAAAATATATATATATACACATATCGCGAGATTATAATTAGTATTTGATATTTGATATTTTAAAGTATCAAGTTTCTCTCTCCAAGTTATAAATTTGATAACACCGCAAAGCAACATTTTCTTTGCACAATTTGAAAAGCAATTATAGTCCAGAAAGCGATTTTTAATCATTTGATCCATTTTTAGATGTCTTCATTGGAGGAATTTTCAGCATTGTTCGGTAACTCTGCATCGATATATCGTTTTTCTCTGTGTTCAATCAATCATGATTTCTCTCTATCATTGACCCAAGAATTCACCCTCAAATCCCGAAGCTCCCTCGATCGTGGTTCGGTCACGTTTCTATTTCACTTAATCGATCGTTTCTTTTCTCAGAGGATACGTATTCACCGCGCCGAGGAGATTCTTGGCCGGCGAGACCGAGAGCGGCTGTTTATCTCTGCACAACCTCGAGCCTCCGGCACACGTTGTTTTGGAGTTGCTGTCGACCACGAAGGACGAGGTGTTGGCTAGCACGAGCAATGTCATCAAGACAGGCAAGCGTCTTTCTTTACCTCGTCCTCGTCAGATCTTCTCCATCGGCGTGATACCGTAATTTTAGAGACGCATGCGGCACAAGTCTCAACGCTCGGCGGTTTCGTCGCAATTCGGGGCGGTTTTTTGCGTACGGGCCGAGAAGTAGCACGCGTGATACGTCACGCTGCAAAAACCATCGGCGGCTCATCGCAGGATTTGCGCTCTTCCGAGAGTCATAAGCGCTCGTCTACGATCTTACACTTGCCGAGGATGATCGAGCGGCTGGAGCAGAATCAGGCGCGTTATCACGCACGCGACACGATAACGCAGTCGTTGAAAATACCGTGGCAAGATCGTGCGTTCGAGCTCCAGGAGCGTACGTGTGGCGAGGGAAACAAGAGACGTCAGTTGCTCGGAGTCCGCGCGGCGAGCGGGATGACCCTCGGAGGAAGGTTCAGAGGGCGGACGATTTGGACGATTTCTCCAGCATTGGAGACCTCGCTTCCGGGCCCAAAAATCCTAGCGACGTCCCTGGGCCCCGTCCCTCCTTCTTCCTTCGCCGCCGCCGCCGCCGCGAGTCGGACGCTTTAAACAAATCGTAAATTGAAATTGTCGTCGCTTCCTGCGGGGGAGCTAAATCAGCCGAGTCTCTCTCTCTGGAGGGGAAATAACTAATCGCTCGGATCACATGGGAAACTTATCTGCATTGTTACTACGCACGGGGTGAACAACAAGTACGGCTCTCGATCAAGGTCCGGGGCTTTATTGTAGATATATGTCGACGCCGCGGTTGATGAGAATCGAAAACAGATGGCGACCCGCGGCGCAGTAAGTCGCTGGAAACCGAGCTCGGCCCGAGATAACTGAGTGTATCTTTCGTGCATTTTGAAAGAACAATAATTGATTGATCGATTATTGAGAGTCTTTCTTTAACAGGAATTGTTTATTGGAAAAGCTTGGAAACCCCGGAATTCTCGGGGAATTTGTTTATGCCTGGAAAAATCAAGGAATTTTAAATGGACATTGTCCATATTATCGTGTTGCTCATAGATAAATATTGCGTGGCTGACTGAGTTTTATTTAATAATATTTACTTCATTAAAAATCATAGAAAAGAAATAGCTTAGGATTTTCCGACTTGATTTTTAATTAATTTTAATTAATAAAGAGTAGCGATATGTAAGTCGTAGGCGCGAACTTATTAATATTCTGTATATGTTTACATTTAAAGTTGTTTTTAAACTTGTGTTTAATATATTCAAATATTAACACTTCTTTTATGTTTTTAATAGATTCTCTTTTGTTCTATATTTACGTATGTAATTTAAATATTTAATTATATTACTTTGCTGTTTATAGCAGTTGATTTTACGACTATTCAGCATTGAAGATAACGATTAGATGCAATTTTGCTTAATTAAGACAGATATTTATTTTAATAATTTTATAAAAGTTGTACTTTGGACCGATTATGCATTAAATTAATTTATTTTATAATATTTTGCTTATAACTTTTAAAGATAAAATTTGAAAATTATATATGACATAAAATATTAATTTTTTTTAGAATCCTTACAGTTTCTTTCAAATTTAATCATTGAAACTCGAGTGATTCTTAACCCTTTGCACTCCAGCCTAGTAATGCATAGAGGCTATTAGTTCCAAGTACATACCTATGATGTAGAAGAAAAATAGAGTCGTTTCAATAAAACAAAATTTTTATTTCTTAGCTATTTTATAACAAAACATATTCTAACTTATATTATAAAAGAAAAACATAAATTTTAGGACTTAAAATTTCTTAAAGTGCCGAGGCAGCAAAACAACCATGTTGCCGCTACGGCGACAGCGGAGTGCAAAGGGTTAATTTTATTTTATAATTTATAAATTTTTATGAACAAAATATTAAAGACTGCACAATAAATTATATTCGTTTGCAAGATACATTTAAAAATATTTTCATTTTGCTTGGAATTATTAACAAATTGCTTGGAAAATCAGGGAATTTTTAAGGATTTGAGTAAACATCCTGTTTAACCCTTAAATACATGAATTTTTTTTATTACTGAATTATTTTTTTTTTTACATTCATAGGTAATCCCAGAAAATGAGAAAAATATTTAAAAAATCTGAGGCATATGTTGAGCATTGCCTTTATGCCTTTTGGATTGTATATTTCGTTCTAAGGAAGAATTTGGTCTTCCACGTTTTTGCCTTTGATGTCGACAAAGAGGAAAAATAAATATGTTGCAAATTTGCAGCACTATGCATTTAAGAGTTAATTTCTAATCGCATTCTTAGTCAAGTTGGAATGAGAAAGAAGATGGAGATAGGTTCTATCACTCCAGTAAAAGTTATCTGAATATGACGTATATATATTTATTAATCTATTTTAACTATATTTTAAGTATTACATATTATATAACATTTGTCTGTTATTTTTATAAATTTCGTGTTTCAAATATTTGCAAATATATCAGCGAATATCTTGTAAATGCTAACGCGTGTGCAAGTATATATTAAAACTAACTATTCTTGTTGTGTGCGAATATATTCTGTCAAATATTTAATTTTACGTTTCTCACAACATCCGGTCATTTGCAGGGATAGAAACGTGTCTGGAACTGGCGGTACCACGGACGGAGAGCTTCAAAGCACGATTGCGATTGAAGATCACGTTTGATAAGTATCCCGATTATGTCGTGGACACGGAGAAGGAAGTTTACATCGAGCACGATTCGTTAATCACGTTCGTGGAGACAGATAAACCGGTCTACAAGCCAGGGCAAGATGTGAATATTAGGATCCTCATGTTAAAGCACGATTTGAAACCTTGGAAGAAAACGGTTTGTTGTTTGCTATTCATAGATATAGAACAAATATTGATTATAATAATAGAGATAATATTACAATTGGAAAAGGAATATACGGTTTATCTGAAAAATTTAATTACAAAATTTAAATTAATTTTTAATTAAAAATATATAGTTGAAGATTTAATTTATTCAGACCTACACAAGATTTTTCATTACTAAATTTTGCTTTTTATTTCTAGATATCGAAAGTATGGATCGAGAATCCATCCGAAATACGTGTAGTACAATGGACCAACGTCAGTACCGAAAACGGAATGGTGCAATTGAAGTTCCCCCTATCTCCAGAACCGAGTCCGGTAAAGATGAATATTCCTCATTGACTAGATGGGTTGACTGTAGTAAAAAATTGGACAAAACGAGATTATCGAATACATCGCGGAATATCCTGCACACCTCATTTGTGCTTATCGGCAAAGAGTTAAACGAATTGGCTAAAAAGTTAAACGAATGTAAAGATGTTAATGAGAAGATTGATATCAATGCTGAAGATACTTTTCACACATTACAGGGTACCTGGAAAGTCAAGGTGGAGAAGAACAAGTCGCAACCGCAACTAGGTCATACGACCACGTTCGAAGTGAAGAAATACGTCCTCCCGCGATTTCAAGTGACCATAACTTCACCGGGATATATTCTCGCGGACGCGGAGAACGTTACTTGGAACATATGCGCCAAGTAAACACATATCTCGATACAAAACCGTTCGAAACGTTCGCTGTATTTTGCACACATATATATATATATATATATATAATATCATTACAGGTACAGTTACGGTAAACCGGTAAAAGGTACTTTGCTCTTGAAATCCACGCCCCAAACACCGATGTGGAGACGGAAGTCGAATCTCCCGGAAATACATTACGAAACCGAAGTCAGTAAATTTTTTGATGATTGTTTAATCAATTCTGATATCTTTTCCACATCTCAAAATGTGATTTTAATTATACCTTTGTAAATATATCTTTAAAAAATCTCGAGTGTACTCATTCACTTATTAGACACAGAAGATTACAATGAAATATTCCTAAGATTTATTCGAATTTATCGTGGCTAGAGTTTGTAACTAATGAATTATTATAGCTGGATTCGCCGGACGGTTGCACAGAATTTGTGCTATCGGGCGCGGTGCTTGGATTGGCTCATTGGAAAGTGGCACCGAACAACATCGTCCTCATAGCAAATTTCACCGAGGCTGGTACCGGTACAGTAGAAACTACAACCAGTCGCACCGTGGTCGTGCATCAGGCCCTGAAACTCGAGTTTCTGCCATACACACCTAAATACTTCAAATTGGGTCTTCCATATCATGGAAAGGTAAACTTCGCAAGCAATTGTGATTATTTTCTTATTCTAACTTTCAACAGTCTATACAGTTTTTTTTAGAATATAACATATATATCTGTAACTGAGTATATTTCTGTTACAGTTACGCGTCTCGCGACACGATGACACCCCAGCACCGCATGAGAAGATTCAGCTTTGCCTGCGAGTGCGCGGCAAGGATGAGTGGCTTCGCGTAGTAGTCGAATGTCGTAACTTCACGTCCTCATCCGACGGCTTCGTTGACTTCATCGTACCATTGTCGCATCGGAATATCGTTCTGTTGAGTTTTGTTGCCACGGGTGTCGACTATCCCACGAAGTACTACTCACCGGATACGCGTTGGCGAGTATGTCAATATACTTGTTATCTATTATTTACGACGTTTCGAGAGAAGAATTATACATTTTTATCTTTCCTAAGAAATGGTCCGTTTTCTTAAATCGTTCCAGACAGTATATTTTATTTTAAAAATTGTATAAAAATATAACTTATATTGTACAGATTTTCTTTTATTTAAGTTAAATTATTAAGTTTGACTCATAATTAATTAAGTTAAATTAATTAAAAATATTAAATTATTTTTTAAATTATATTGTGAAATTTGTAATATGTTTCTTTCCACTCGGAAGAACAGTGTACGTGTATACTTTAAGAGTTCAAAGCGTTTATGGAAATGTTCGATATACACACGGATCTAACATTAGTTTTAAAACTTAGGTTTTTATGGATCAACCGTCGGCACACATCGACGTGAGCCCTTGGTACTCGCCGTCAGACAGTTACCTGGCGGTATCCCGAGGTTATCAACCGATCGTCTGCGGGGAGAAATATTCCTTCAATGTTATGTACACGGTGCCGGCGAAGAGTAAGACCAACGAATCTATCTCCTTCCATTACTCGATCAATTCCAAGGGAGACCTGTTAATTTACGGCCACGTGAAACACCGGCCGACCAGAGACACTGTTTTGAATTATTCGGAATTCCGGAACTTACTGGGCGCCGTCGAGACGCCGGGAAACAAAACCAGTCAGGACACCATCGTTCACAGGTAGCTGATATCCCTCAGTTTTTCGATGTTGATTATCGTTAACGTCGTTTAATAATCGTTAACATTAATTACATAGGTCCACAACAACAAAAATTTTGTCAAGTAACTCTAATTAGTGTAGGTATTTCTTATAGATTCTCAGATATAAGCAATACCGCTGGCCAAGTTGCCCCATCACGTTAGGTTTACAAGTTAGCTTGAAGATGAGAAATCAGCAATTAACTGTATCTGCTAAATATGTTTTATAAATATTTTGTAAATTTACATATCGTAAAAGAGCACACAGCCATCGAGACGTTATTCATGATCTTTCATTGTAATTTCTTTCGTTCAGATTCCCCCTGAGCGTCAAGATCACCCCGTCTATGGCACCCGTCTCAGAACTGCTGCTCTACTACGTTCGTGCGGACGGCGAGATTGTCGCAACTACGTACTCAATCAAGGTGGGGCATTGTTTCGAGAATAAGGTGAAGTCCGCCTGGCACACCGACGCCCAGATTCCGGGAACGGCCACCTTGTATCACGTGGAAGCCGCCCCGTGGTCTCTTTGCGGTATCTCGGCAGTCGACAAGTCTACTCGCTTCTTGGGGGGATCCAAGTCGAATTTAATTGATGCGGAACGGAGCTTTGAGCAACTAAAGAGATTTCACATCGAGCCGGAGACGCGCCCTATTTGGACGTGGACCCACTGCAAAGGTATGTTCGATGATTTGCGCAAAAACCGATAATAATTTGCGTATCGTGCAACAGTAATTTGCTAAGGAAGAATTGAACGTATTAATATAAATGTCATTGGTGAATTAACTAATCTTTTGGCTGGCTTTCGCTGGCGTTTTTCGCAACAAAATTGGAATCGATCGCTTACTAATTAATTTAGCAATTGGATAAGGATTTTTCGAGGGATTTGAGTTATAATAATATTACTATCACTTATTATTATTACTTATAATAATATTATTGGGACTCAAAGATTAGTTAAAGCATGGAAAGATTAGTTTTCTGCGTACGGTTGTCTGAAAGTATTCAGCACATGCGTCGTTACACGTTGAACATATTTTCCTTCGCACAAATAATATTAATATTGACAATATTAATATTTAATAGCACTATAAAACATTGATACTTTGACTCCTCATGGCCCACAATATTCTTTCATTAAATTAATTCTTCCGTAGTTTGAAGTAACTTGTATGATCTGACACGTAAAACTCTTTGCAGCAACGATGCAGCATGAGAGCAATACCGAAGAGATAGACCACCTGCCGATCCCCGCTTTGAGAGAATTGCCTATGTGGATGCGCATGAGGAACAGAAGGACCACGATCCGCGACTGGAAGAGTCACGGGGACGTGAATTACGTGGACGCCATACAAGCGTTCGATGTGAGGATCTTCCTGTGAACGTAAATCGTCTTAAGATTAATCGGAAAAAATAATTACGCTTTCATTACCTTCAAAAAGGATTTTGGAGCTGTCGTGATGAGCGATTTAATACTCGAAACACGACCTTGCCCCCAACTTTACACTGATTTCGTGCAAACGAGAGATTTTATGGGTGTCCATCCGTTTGTTCTCCATGCTGGCCTAGATCAGGAACCTGGTGCGTATTTGTGAGACCTCCCGAATTACAAAGCTGCAAGCAAAGCATAAAGTATCACGCGACTTATATCGACATTTATCACGGACCTTGTCGGGAAGTAATAATTCGGATACTGAATAGATTTCTCATTCATTCTTTTTAACTTTTAACTACAGACCTGGGTAGGTCCTTTATATTCCTATAAATGTGGTTTCAGGAACGTCGTGATTTGAAAGATTTATAAAAACAATATATTTTCGTATATTCTTGTATCTTTTAATACAGTTTTTATTGTTAATTCAAAAAATGAGAATAATAATGCTAATTAAAAAATAATAATTCAAATTGTTGGGTCCTCATGTATAGTTAACAAGTGAATTATTTATTATTTGGTACATACTGATGTATTATGTTTACGTATTATATATTAGCAACAATAGTTAACAAGGCAATGAGAACCCTTCCCATGGCGGTTCCGTTGCTTAACTTGAGCCCCGACCAGAGCTACGTGGATTCGGTACCCGATCAACCTGTGACTCTCAGGTCTTATTTCCCTGAAACTTGGCTGTGGGAATTAGTGCCGACCGGGTATGCATTCTTAAACTCATCAAATCTACTCCTCAAACTTACTACCTGAATTCCAGTCGTTTTCGTTCTCTGACACTCGTGTTATCAACAGAGTTTATCTTTTCAGTTTTGCGTTTTGACATGGACTTGACAGTGTCTGTCGGGTATTTATATCAATTAATGGGGGTTAATTTTCTTACAGAAAAGAAGGCAAAGTGACTATTGAGCGTACTCTGCCCGACACCATCACCGATTGGGTCGGATACACCACATGTATCTCGCCTACACATGGCCTCGGGATAGCTCCGCCGACAACTATCACGGGCTTCCAACCATTCTTCCTCGATTACAGCCTCCCGTATAGCGTGAAACGCGGCGAATTGTTGCGCATGAAAGTCTCCCTCTTCAATTATATGCAGCACAGTCTACCGGTGAGTTCTCTCCATTGGTGGACCACTGTATCCTCTGACGTCGGTCAAAACTTACAAAGCTAAAGGCCTAAGCAGAATGATTGACTTGGAATCTTAAGAGAATGTTGTATGCCCTAAATCTACACAAATTATCATTTGTTTCCTTTTTTCATATTACAATTTACAATAGTTTGTTGTCAATCACAAACAGAACGGATTTTTAGTTTAAGACTCAGGACATAAGACAGTCATCGTGCGTTAAGTAATGTAGTCTATTAAGTCTATAAAGACTTAAAGCATAAAACATTGTCTTGAATCAATAAGTCAACCAATTCTGATCCTTATTGGTAGCGATTAAAGAGAATATGCTGCGACGATTGAATAGCGACGAGAAATTGACGCTTACAGGTAAAAATTAAGCTAGAGGACGCAACGGGGCTCGACTTGCATCTGTCGCACGCTGTCGCTTCGTTCTGCGTGAAACCTCGCGACAGCGTAGTGCACGAATACATCCTCAGACCGCGAGTTCTCGGTGACGTTAACATCACAGTCTCCGCCTCGATCGATTCGGAATATGCCGAACCGTGCGGCCCGGAAGTGATTCTGTTTACACGGTGAGTGGACCAAACCAAGAAAATTTGTGTGAACTTTGACACGCGTAGAATTCTTCCTAATTTGTTGATCTATGGAAATTTGAATTAGAATTGGAAGCAGATATCGGTAATTGTGAATTGTGACGCTTAATTGCTTGCGCACTCTTCCAGAGACGTGATCGTGAAGCCGATACTCGTGTTACCGGAGGGTTTCCCCGTAGAAACGACCAAGTCGGCGTTCATCTGCCCGAAGGATTTCAGCGACGATTCCACCATCATCTGGGATCTCGATTTACCTCAGGACCTGGTGCCCGAGAGTGCCAGAGCGTATGTATCCTTGATAGGAGACATTTTAGGACCCGCCCTCGAGAATTTGGATAGTCTCGTTCGTTTGCCGCTTGGTTGCGGCGAGCAGAATATGATTCTCTTTGTCCCTAATATTCACGTGATTGGTTACTTGGATGCAACCGGTGTGGAGAATCCAGAGCTAAGAGCGAAGGCGGTGAAGAACATGGAGAAAGGTACGCCTTCCATTCTTATGTGATGTCGATTTCTAATCGGACTTATATAATTAAGACAATTGATTTATTGGGATTAATGCGATGTTTCAATCACTTTTGCGTCTCTGAAGCTTAGCTTTACGTCCCAAATATTTCTTATTCCGCAAACAAACTTGAATAAATATTTTTTTCATATTTTTTATTTCGTTTTTATAATAAATCTTTTAATATTTCTACTAAAAAAACGTCAAAATTTAACTTTATGTCGGTCAAAAAGTTTAAAGTTGGATCGTTGTTAGTTTTGAATCTTTGCCATATAGTTTTAAAGGCTCGAAAAAAACTAGTATTTTCTTATTTTCCGTGATTTTTTCGGTTTCCTTCCGTAAAAAAAAATAGAAATCCTTTTTCTTCCATTATATTTTGCCAACGTTAATTTATAATTCATTGCGTCACGTTTGTTTTCCGTATAGGATACCAGCGTGAATTGACATACAGACATCCGGATGGTTCGTATTCCGCGTTCGGCCCGGAAAATTCGGAGAGTTCGATCTGGCTCACCGCGTTTGTGATAAAATCCTTCGCCCAAGCTAGGAGTATAATTCACATCGACGAACGGGATCTGAAGATTTCTGTCAAGTGGATGATGAAGAAGCAGTTGGAAAACGGATGCTTCCCGGTGATAGGCAGAGTATTCCATAAAGACATGAAGGTATAACGTTGTAATTTGTAACTCTTTTATATTTAATAATAATAACAGCAAAATTACATTTAAGATTTCGAGACAGTTTTATACAGTAAGACAAAACCACATTGTAGATCGTGGTTGATGTAATTTTGATTGGCTCCACTTTCACCTACTCTTTGTGCTAAAAATCAAAACCGACTGAAATTTTTTGTAATAGTTTCTGAGTCGGTAGTAAAATTTTGAAACATTCTACTTAAGCACGGGAGAATTGAAATGAGAAGCCGATCGCAATGTGAATACTATTCCTCGCAAAACTACTTTTCACCAAGAATTTTCTTATCTGCGTATCATTCATGTAATTTTTCTTTAGGGCATGAAAAGTGAAAATTCCAAATGTCTTCAAATTTAAAAATTTACATTTTTCATGAGTTCACGCTAGAGAATAAGATCCAGCAACTCCTAGGAACTCATAAATCTTCTCTTCTAGCGTTTGTAAATCTACAAATTTAAAAACATTCTCATTTTTCATGTTTCCTTCTCAGGGAAAAATTACATGATCGTTTCACTCTATGTCTCTCTTATTTATTTTGTCTTCTTACTTTCCTTTTCACACTGTGTCATAATGAATTTATCTCCCGTTAACGATAAATAAATAAAACATACAAACCTTCATACGTGTTTTCAGGGCGGTTTACAAGACGACGAAGGTTCCTCCACGGCGTTGACAGCGTATATATTAATCTCCCTTTTAAAATCGGGTGTGTCGTTGACGCCGTCTCTCGTGAACAACGCTCTACATTGTCTGGAAAAGGGCATGGCGAACGGTGGCGATACAACGTACACGGCGGCTTTGTCCACCTACGCTCTCGCGCTGTTGGAACACCCACGAGCGAACGACAGCCTTAAGTCGCTCATGGATCGCGCGACGCGAAACCACGTATGTAATAAAGGCGAAGGCGATCGCCGGGGAAATTCCCAGAATGAATCCTCCCTCACGAATGTCCCTCCGTTGGCTCTGTAGGACCTCCTCTGGTGGGAAGACAAGTACAAACCCTCCCTGGGACTCAGCATCGAGATGACAGCGTACGCCGTGCTGTCGTTTGTGAAGCTCGGCGGCGAAGCGAACATGGTTGAAGCGTTGAAGGCGGTCCGCTGGATGTCGAAGCAACGAAATGCGGAGGGCGGCTTCACATCCACCCAGGACACCGTTCTTGGCCTCGAAGCGCTCACCAAGTACGCCGCCGCTATGTCGAGCAACAGTACGGACCTATCGGTGCTCGTGACGGCCGGCGACATCGATCAGGTGTACAGGATGCATAACGATAACCGCATGGTTCTCACGCAGATACGCCTGCCCATATTACCCACGACTGTCGAAATCTTCGCCGAAGGCGAGGGCTGCGTCTTAGTGCAGGTACCACGTGCAGAAAATTCTTGTCCGCCTATGAGTTCATTTCCAATCACTCACCCTACCGCTCCATATCCTATTCTCATTTTACCTCACTCTCACACACATCACCTACCTACCCTCTTCTCCATATACGAGTATAATACGATAGTGTCTCCGCTTATTTCACCTTGGGTAAAGTTATAATCGACATCTTATCATAAAAAAGCTCAATAACTTCGAAATGGTTGAACCAAAGCGGATAAAATTGTAATGTTTTGAAAAGATTTCAAGAGGCGCTATAAGAATATGCAATAAAAAATAGGAGATCCTATTTAAAAAATTTAAAGTGACCCTGATCTTGGCGACGCCAGTCAAGGTCAAATTGATGAGATCAATAAATAGACCCTTTTAAACTTTGTAACTTTTGTCTGAAATATTCTTTTGTAAAACTTACATTTTCCAAGATATTTCGCTATTTCGTAACTTTTAATACACTCTGTATATATATTTTTTAGTTTCATGTACTTACTTTTTTATTGTTTATCTTATTATATTTCTATTTCTCATAATTTATCGAGTACTGATAATTGCGTTAAATTAATTTTGTTATGTACAAATGAAAAACGAAATACTTTTTTGTAGAGCAACATAAAATATAACGTCATACACGCAACCGGCTCCGAAGCTTTCGATCTCTCGGTCGGCGCCACCTCGGTGCTGGCGTCGGTGGACGAATGCTCGATGCAGAAGATCACGATATGTACGCGATACAAAATGGCAGATGGGGAGAGTAACATGGCACTGCTGGAAATCGGCATGATAAGCGGATACGTTCCAGACCGCGCGAGTCTTCACTCTCTATTAGAAGACCCGGCTACGAGTGAGTATATATCATATTGCTCATCGATGGAAAAATACTTTAAAGTTCTGTGTATCCTCATGTCACACTTATGATTCATTTTTTAACATGGTGAATTTAACGTCATTTATTCTGAGATTGACAATTTTGCAGAGGTAAAGCGTTTCGAAGAGGATCGCGGCGTCGTTAGTATTTACTTCGACAAGTTGATCAGCCAGAAGACTTGCATATCGCTCATAGTTACCAGAGAGAATATCGTTGACAGACTCGAGCCAGCGAATGTAAAACTCTATGATTACTATCAGCAGGAGCTGTCGATATCTAGCGTAAGTTTGCAAGCATATTGCTTCATGCTGATTAAACACAGTACAGAATATACTATAAGGAGAGATCATCAAGGAAATAGAAAGATTCGAGACATCGAAATATACAGGGTGTCCCAGACCACCCGTCTCACCCGATTTTTTCGTAAACGTGACATTTTAAAGAAAAATGTTTCAGACAAAAGTTTTGTGACTTCGAGGGGCACATAAGATGGTGTCATTGGTTTGACCTTGGATAGTCGTTTGAAGATCACGTGAAGGTCACCTTTAATTTCTTAAATGGAAACCCCCATTTTTCAATGTATATTCTT